TTTTTTTTTTTGAGACAGGGTCTCCTTGTAGCCCCAGCTGACCTGGAACTTGATATGTAGAGCAGGTGACCAGGCTGGCCTTGAACTCGCAGAGATCTGCCTGCCACTGCCTCCTCAGTGCTGGGACTAAAGATGTGTGCCACCATGCCCAGCTGAGTAGGCAGAGCTCTTAACTGCTGAGCCATCTCTCCAGCCCCCAAATTGCCTCTCTTGGAGGCTGAAATAAAAACCTAATCATTGGCTCATGTATATTTTGTTGTCTGATTTGACACAAACATGGTACTAAAGGAGCAAAGCTTAAATGCATGATGTTCATGCTCCACCACCTACTCTGATTTAACAACTAAAATATGAAATAAACCAGCAGTCTAGCATCTTCAACACGCAGACCACAGATTTAAAAAAGACCCCTTTGCTTCTCCTTCCTATGACCTTTGTGTTGGTTTGTTTTTGTGTCAACTTGACAAAAACTACACATACCAGGGAAGAGGGAATCTTAACTGAGGAATTTTCTCCATCAGGTTGGTCTATGGCTATGTCTGTGGGGCATTTTCTTGATTACTAATTGATGTGGAGGCCTATCTCACTGTGGGCGCTACCATCCCTAAGCAGGTGGGCCTGGGCTGTGTAAGAAAGCTCACTGATCAAGCCAGGGGAAGCAAGCCAGTAAGCAGCATTCCTCCTTGGTTTCTGCATCAGTTCCTGCCTTTGGGTTCCTGCCTTAAGCTCCTTCCCTGGCTTCCCTTCATGATGAACTGCAACCTGTAAAATGAAACCCTTTCCACCCCAAGTTGCTGTTTGCTGTGTTCATTACGGTAACAGATAGCAAACCAGAGCAGACTTCTACCCAACACCACTCTTCTGCAGGGCTCAACTGCATTCTTCAACCTTAAGACCTTAACCCTATGAAGATAGAGATTCTGGAAATAAGCATGGAAATACTAAATTAAGAGCCCTATTTTCCTGAGGACTCAGTAACCTGGCTTCAAGGTGCACACAATACCAAATGCACTGCTGAACATTTGTGACCACTGCTAGCCAGTCCTAACCATTGTATGCCTTCCATGTGCATGGGAAGGACATCAGTGGAGTGGATCGAGTCGGCTGTGTAATATGTGCTCTGGGCCACAGATTCAGCTTGCATTACCCTAAGCATTCAGGATTCACCATGCCACCCTCTGTAAATCAATGTTGATGTGGATAATAGCACAATCCTATCTGGAACAGAGACTCCAAATAGTTCCATCTTTTAAAAAAAATAATTTTTATTACGTGTACATGTAGGGTGGGGGGCAGGTCTGTGTACCTCAAGCTTCAAATCTGCAATCTCTTAAAGTTCTCTCAGAGTTTGCAATTAAACCAACAAACAATTAAATGAATTAAACCAAGGTGACATGGTCATGGCCCAGGTCCGAAGGCAGCACGTCTAGCAAGGAAGAAACCTGCGAATTAATCTAAAGCCTGTTTGTGCTTTCTTCATCATCTACCTATTATGTTCATTAAAGAATGGTTAATCAAAATAAAGATACTTTATCTCAACTTCCGATGTTAAGTAAATATAAAATCCAATACACTACAAGGAAATGTAAAAAGACCTAAGTGGATTCTGATAATCACAATTAGAAATTAATTAATTAGTTAAAAATATGATCAGATGAACATTCCTCAAAGACAGGAATCTAAGTCACAGTCATCCAAATGACAACAGTTTTCTTTCTTTTTTTTTTTTTTTGGAACTCACTATGTAGACCAGGCTGGCCTTGAACACACAGAGATCCACCTGCCTTTGCCTCCCAAGTGTTTGGATTAAAGGCATGTGCCACCATGCTCGGCCTATCAACAGTTTTCTATTACAATTGTGTTTGGTAATGTCCCTTCATGAGATATGTACATTAAAAGCATCAATGAAAAGTATTTAATATTCCCAATTGCTGAGGTGACCAGAACTACTCAGGTTGTTTCACTTAGTGAAAGCAGGAAACAAGGGCACCTCTCCAGCCTCTCCTCTGCATGCAAATTGGCCTCGTTTACTGACAATTCTCCTGTCTGTGGTTTGTTTTCCTCTAGAGGAGCTGAAAGTGGCACCAGCTCATCCTGTACAAAATAAAAAATAAAAAAAACAATAACTCACAAAATGACACACATTCAACTTTATCTTAAAATCTCATAATAGCCTGTGAATGTATCCATATAACATAGATAGTGAATATGTGGTGCCTCTCCTCCTCATGCCCCTGCGCTTTCACAAGTGCTGTTCCTTTCCTGGGACAAGCCTCATCCCTGACCAGGGTAGCCACACCAGCCATCCTCAGAACCCAATTCATACATTCCATTTCCTAGAACTTTTCTTCCATCACAGCATTCATCATGGGCTGGCAGCTGGCAATTTTCTAAATCATGAGTTTCTTTAATGCAGTGTCTCTTTTAGCTCTATATCCCCTCATTCTGGAACAGAGAAGTCAAAGGTTTGAATACTGTATGGAATTAATAAACTAAATTATCTACAGCTGTAGTCTGAAAATTACTCATTCCTCCAAAAAGAGTGAGCCTACAGAGTAAGTCAGCCAGGAGCAAGATGAGGAGCACCCTGGGAAGGAGGGTGGAGCTGCCTGCCATATGGAGAGCGAGCTTATGGAGAGTTAGCAGTGGCCATGTTGGAACTCTGGCAGCAATTAGGGAACGGAGGGGCATCCCACAGAGCGTGGAGTGGGACTTGAATGGTGAGGGGGTTATAAGAAGCGGCTTCTTTGTAAGTCAACCCCTTCTAAATGTCATATAAACTATGCAAAACCCAAAATAGAAATGTGTTATGCCAGTTTTTTTGATCCACGGTCAGGACCATGAGACCCCAGTGACTGAGGGCCAGTCTCCCAGAGGGCAGGAAGGGAAAAATGTAGTGAAACAACAGCAGTCTCTCAATCTGTATTCCAAAGTACAGTTACATCTCCTAAAGTGTGATGCTCCACAGCAGCATTCCATCAGCATCCTTCTAGAAAGTATTGTAAAATAATCAATTCCCCAGCATCAAAGATCCTCTAACTGCATAGATGGTTGAGTATAAAAGAACTTCTTCGGGCTGGAACCCAAAGCTAACAACCATCCATAACTCCAGTTCCAGGGGGATCCGACACCCTCTTCTGACCTCCACAGGCATTGCACTTACATACATGGGTGCACTTAGATACATGCCAGCAATACACTCATACACATAAAATTTAAAAAAATAATAATAAAGAACTTTAA